AGAATATTCATAATTTAACTGTGGCAATCTAATACCAAATAGCATTCTAGCAAATGATATATCAAGAATTTATTAGAAACCCCAAAAATGTCTATTAATGATAGGGATTTTTGTAAATAGATTCTTTATTATACTTATCAATAAATGTACAATATATGTAAATTAATCCTGCATGTACATATGTAAAGAACAATTTTTGGATACTACACCATATTTTAAATTTGCCAGCATGGTGTTTGTTTAATGCGATCACGTTAAAATTTTGGTTTTTATACGTATGTACATATTTATAAATCCTAATTTGCAATGTAAGGTAAAATATGGTGAATTTTTATTAGGTCGATTATAATCTTATTAAGGCAATTACTTAAATATATGGCGAGTATGGTTGGACAGATCTATTCGATATGATTGCAAGTTATACAAACTGTGTTACAAACATATATGTATATCTTCAAAAAGCTGCTATTTAGCTGCTCTTTATTAGCTGCTTTCGTAATCTATATATAAATTTGGGTATATGTGTTCCTTTCAATACACAATAATATTAATATTAATTAACTTCCGAGAAAATTGCATGGCCGAAAATACAACATTAATAGTTAGATGTACAACACGATCAGATGTACAAGTATATAATAGTCTATTCTCTATGTATAATTGAAATTCGTAAATTAAGCTGCAATATAGAAGATTATAAGATTTACAGATTTTTATTTAAATTACGATACGCAATAATCTCAATCGTACAAAAAATTAACACAGTAAAAAAATATATATCTAAAATTCATTACTACTAAAAAAACCTGGTTTTCCCTTGTATGTTATTTTTCAAATTTCTCTGATCTTCTTTTTACATACATATATTATAATAACATTTTTGTGAAAATAATTAATTCTTTAACAAAATTAAGAATTTTTGTAGATCTTTTTTTTAGAAATCTACATAATATATTTTACACTCGTTTGGATTATTTATCTTAAATAATATAACATAACCCTGTTCAAATATTTATTTCGACAGTATTTTAATTAGGTGCAGCAGACGGAGATATAATAAATTCATCAATGATACAAAATATACTTATTAGTATAGTCTAATATAAAATATTTACTGAGAAATATTTTTAATAATTTATTCCTTGTCTTTTACTGCATTTTTATTTCTTTTTATTTCTATCTTTCTTTAAATATTCATGATTGTTATATTTTACGTAAGTAAACATGAAGTGGTACAATTGATAAAATCATACTATTTGTAATAAAATATCACATATGTTTCACTAAGAATATTTTATCAACTGTGGCAATCTTATAAAATAATCTAAAGGTATCTATAGCTTGAGTTGGAATGCAAATGTGAAATTGACATGAATAGACTATTATGTATATTATTTTTGTAATGTTTACATATAATATTCTATATATACATATATATATATATATATATATATATATATATATATTTCTATTGGAAAAGGCAATATCATTTAATTTGTTTTAATATTATATCTTAATATGATTTTTGATATTTCGTATAAATATTGATATCTTTTCTTAAACATTGTATATACATATGAGGAGCAAGATTTGTTGCATTATTTCCTGAGCGATCTTCATCAAGTTATTAATTTCAACAATAGTCAAGTATTACTAATTTCAGCAACAGTCATATAAATATGTAGATTAAAAAATTTCTCGTGATCGATTATTAACATCAACATTTACCCTTTTTAGCAAAATGACAGTATAATATTATAATGATAAAAGTTCACAATTGGTGTAATGAGTCAATGTCAATGAGTCAACTTAAAATGAGATTTAAATATATTGAACAAATTACTTTAACTATGATTTTTTTATAAATTTAGCATGAAAATGGTACTAAAAATATAAGTACAAGAAAAAAAATATTGCTTTACCGAGCACTTTATACAAAGTAGAAGAAGTATTCCTTACTATTATGACAAGTTACCTGTTCCAATAGTGCTAATTATAAAGGCACTTAGGTGAAAATTCATAAATTGTAAATACCTCAAAATTACAACTATCTGTTGTAATATTAAAACAACTATCGCGAGTCAAGCAAATGGTGTTAATATTTAAGAATGATGTTTGACATATTCTTGATTTTATATATCTATATACGAACATATCAGTGTTAGAATGATACATATAAAACAATGCAGGAATGTAATAGCTTATTTTCAAGAAGATATACAATTTTAGGTTTAATTGGAATGTGATGTTTGAATAACAAATGATTGTAATTTGAAGACTTTCCCCATTTAAAATATTTTTCAAAATATAGTTTTAAATGTATATATATGTATATATATTAATATACATGTTAGGCATGACCGAAGACTGATTTATGCATATTAGAATTGGAAGTTTTATGCAAAATTCTAAAAGAAACTAAACTGCAAATTGTTAAATATTACCTTTGACTTCAAAATAATGTTTTATATATATATATAATATTAATTTATACATATATATATAAATACAAAATACAATATATATATATGTATATATTGATATTTTGGAATTAAAGAATCTTGAAGTATTTAATAATATTCAAAATTGGCATATGATGGCATATGACTGAGCTTGAAATTTTTATTCCAAAAATTCAAAATTATGTTATTAAATTTGTTATAATTCTTCCATTTTTTGTAATTTAAAGTTTAAAATATTAGGTCACAGAAGTAAAAGTGACATATTTGAACTATACTAGGCAAACATTGAAACATTGTTAAACTAAATTATTTAAATATTATCGCTCAATCGGTCGTGCCTATCGTAAAAAGAGGGAAAAAATAAAAATAAATTTTGCTTTGAAATATTCCGTATGAAAGTTTAGGGAACGGAATGTCTAAATCGACTCACAAACTGCCAAAAGCTGCAATTAGCTGATTTAACATGACATCATCAAAGATATTCGTTATCAATATTTGCTTTGACTAACGTTCCATCTTACAGTTATTATAACCTCGTCAGCAATTCGTATGCCTGGCGCCTCTCATTAATGGAATCAAAATACTAGGACTTTGAGCTTGTCTAAGGAATGGATGTTGCAATAGTTCAGCTGCCGTAGCTCGTTGCGCTGGATCGCGTACAAGCATTCGTTCAAGAAAACCTTGAAGACGTGGACTAACCTGCAAGTGAAGTTAGAATGTTACTACTCATTTCTTGAATTTATTGTGTAGTTAGCTATTGGAATTACTGAATCAGATGTTTTTGTCAAATTCAGTAAAGGATATTTGGTCTTACTTTGTGAAAATTCTTCAGTTTTGGTGGTGGCATATCCCTGATGCGTCTCATAGCTTGTAGAGGTGGTTCATTGAAAAATGGAGGTTCACCATCGATCATTTCAATGATCATTATTCCTAACGACCAGATATCCACTTCAGGTCCATATGGCAACCTACAATTGCACATAGACAATTCTTGTGTTTATTTATCTAATAATTGAAACTATCGCAATACTTAAAGCCTACATTATTAGATTTAAAAGAATGAGCAAACTAATGTTTTAGTACGTCCTATAATACTTTGGAGGATGGTGTACATCAAAGTAAATAATGTAAAATACCTTGAAATGACCTCGGGACTCATCCAATATGGGGTTCCTACGAGAGATTTTCGCTTTGGTAATTCCTGGGAGACTTGAGCACAAAAACCAAAATCTGACAATTTTACTCTGCCATCTGCCGTAAGTAATATTGAATCAGATTTAATGTCTCTGTGTATAACACCCTGCGAATGTAAGTACGCCAGTGGTTTAAGGCACTGAGAACACACTGTAGCTATTTGACTTTCGTCCATCCTCGAGTGTGTTACAATATCGGTTAGTGCACCACCCTCTAAATATTCCATAACGACCCATAATTCATCATCTACTAAGAAACTGTCATACATCTCAACTATATTGGATGATGATAGTCTCTCATAATGACAACTTCGTTGAAAAGTAATTCACGTCTTTGTTGTTTTCTTAAATCCATTTTCTTTACTGCAACTTGACGATTTGTACTCTTATCTGTAGCTATGCATACAGTTCCCGTGCTACCTTCTCCAATCTTTAAGAAGTTCTCCAAATTTTCTCTCGGATCACCTTGGCTTACCTAAAGAAATAAATATACATGTCAAATGTATATAAATGTACTTATAATGTACGCATAAGTATGTTAAATTTAAGCATAATTTTTACATACCACCATCTGTAAAGCAGCCCTGAACTGCTCATGTGTAAGTCTCTGCTCTGTTTGTTTGTTGGTGTTGTTTGAACTTGTACTAACTGCTAAGTTTCCTGATGAGACAGCACTTTTCATATTCTGATTTTGATCTGGAGTAGAACTGGTTCCTGATACTGCAGACGGTATGCTTGGTTTGGATAAATTATGCATTGACTGGGAAGTTTCCATTGGCTTCTTCAAATGTGACTGTAGGTTAGATGCATTTTCAGACATATTATACGCCTGAGGATATTTGTTGATATTATGTGAACTCAATTGACTCAATGGTCGTTGCGATGCTATTGACCCCACTGGTGAAATTTTTGGCTGTAGCTTGTGTAGTAACATGTTTTGTCCTACTTGATGTTCTCTTGATGCTTCCGTAGCAGAACCCTATAAATTAAATAATATTGCCATTACATCAGTTGTATTTATCAGAATGATTATCTAAAGTTTTCGTATCTTAGTACTTTATGTACTTTAACATTGCTCTTCTTAAGATAGTTATGCATGATATAATTACCTGTATATTACCATTATATTGATTTGACGTCATAGCCATTTGTGAATTTATTCTATGAAATTCTAGATCGGGAAATTGTGGGGTATTTGAATTTTGCGCTGGACCTTGTGAATTTACAATAGGACTTAAATTTTGGAAATTTAAGGATAGATTTGGTATATTTGATCCCGAATGAGTTAAATTTGGCGACGATTGCATGTTAGGATTAAGGTTTTGGAGATTTGGAATCATGTTTTGAATGCTAGAACTTAGGCCACCACTAACGCTTGGAGAATTCTGTCTTAGTTTATCGATATAGTTATGTGGCTTGTTAAAATTTGTAAAGCCTTGGTTAACATTTGAAGGTATCTCTTGCCCTTCAGGGACGGATGGCGGAAGATTGCTGTTATGCCTGCAAGTGAAAAATATGCTCAATTATTACTGTAACCATTAATTTTCCCAAGATTTCCTCATAAACAGTATATAAAATATCTATAATAAATTTAAAGCTGATTAATTTGTCTGCATCAACTATAGGGATATTAAATTTACAATACTTAATCTTTAATGTCCACATTAATAAAAATTTTGCCATGTTTTACATATATAGTTCATCAATGGCTTATTTTATATATAATCGATGTGTATATAAACTAATTTATTCTATATTACAAATGAATCAAAGACAAAGTTAGCACATGATACCTGTAATCTCTCCTGAGTCGTGGTGGACTCGAAGAACGTAGTGAATTAGAACGAGCAACTGTACTAGTTTTAGGCAAGCCATTCTCCACAGTCTTCTCATTGGCAAATGGTCTATTTATCCTAGGATCATTGTGTCCTCTTACAATAGTTTTCAAATCAAGTATCTCAGTAGGAGTAATTTCACTTGGATCGACCAAGGGCAACGGTCTGTTGGTCGATTTTAGTATCTGATTATTTCCAACTATCGAAGCCCATTGTAGTGGCAGTCCAATAAACTTGCCCTCGCGTTTATCAAACCCAGTGTGTACCCTATGCTCGAAATTTGTTGGTGTGGAGATCTGCGGTTTCTTTTTCTTCTTGGTAAACATCTCTGGTTTTAAAATAACAATTATTAGAATGCTATATATGTTATATGCAGATGTGCAATGTAACGATTATCGAAATAAAGAACTACTTTCTATGGAGATAGGTGATGGGTTTTAGAGATAGGGACTGCGGCATACAACATATATCAGACAAGCAGTATAATTTCATTAGCAACCTAACATAGTAAATTAAAATATTGATCTGCTTATAAATAGAAAATCAAAGCATGTACAGTTCTATGTGACAGATATCCACTTGTACACGCCTGATTTTTCTGTTGTAGCGTATGTATGCCCTCGCAAATATTTTCTATTAATTGAAAGTTAGTGATATGTGTTGAGAAAGAGACAGGCGTACAATTCGCAGGAGCGACGTAAAATTTGTGAAAATAGCGCGGGGCGAGGGAAGCCAAATGACAGCAACAACGCCTACCGAGTGATGATGAGTGGTTTCTGCGACGCGGCTTCACCGAAGTTCACCCGGTTATAATTATAACGAAAAGGTTTTCCCGGACAGCTCAAAACACTCGTGATACAAACGCGGGCCGCGGTAATGCCGAAACATAGGCGATGTTGCACGTTAAAACACATAAATACGCCATTTATCCGTCTCGACAGGTAGTACTCCACTATACTTCGCACACCGGCGCACCATGCGGTCAGCTTAAGAATCTTTCGTGGCATTTAGTTCATGACAATTTGCTGAAACGTGCGTACGTATGCGCGCGCGTAGCACCTGCGAGAATGGGTTCTGCGCCGTGACGCGCCGGAAAACGGGAGAGGGAGAGAATGCGAGAGAAAGCGATTGGGATCGCGATCGCGATCGCGGGAAAAGAGCGATCGCGTGGAAATTCATCGATCAAACAACGCGCGATGTTCCAGTTCGATGAACTTGCGTTGAGAATCACACCTGTATCTTTTCAATCCAAAGGAGGTCGTGTGAAAAAAACGTAATATTCTTTATTGTTTCTTTCGAGAGGAATGCAGAATTAATGGCAAATAATGCATTAATTAAAATAATAAAAAATTTACTTGCAAAGAAGCTTCTTTTATTAGAAATAGAAGAAAAAATGAGTATATTACGAGAAACAAAGTTAAAAAAAAGAAAAATGCAGATTTTTTTTAAGAATAGATAAAATATGTAACATGACATAAATACTGAATAAAATATTCAATAATATTTTTTCACAAAATAAAAAAATTAGACTATTTTATTGCTTCTAATTTGTTTCTAATTCTGTGTCGTTTATAAATTGTAAAACAGATTCTACGTAATAACGACTAATGTCAGTGAAAGTTTGTATCTCTTTGCGAAAGAAGTAACATCTGTTTAATATCTCTTCGCGAAAAAAAAAAATACTTTATGATATCATTAAATTTTTTTATATTTCTTTTATGATTAGAAACAGGAAAATATTAAATAAATAAAGAAACATTAAATTAATCAAGGAATACACATACGAAATTTGACAAAAGATTTATTGAGTAGTTAATAATTGATCTCAGATAATTAATTCAGCATCACCGGCTCGACACGGTTATAAGTGCGAATTATTGTTCTTTATCAGTCGATTTTACGATTTAATTCCCGGGTAATTAATTAGAATGACTGCTGACTCCAAATAGCGTGACCGAAATTATTTTCATTATTTTTGCTTAACGAGCGAAAGAGTTTTCTCTATGATAAAACGTACGATAAACAAACAATGCGCATGAACAAAAAATGAAGAAAATATTTTTAGTGTATGATAGTGAGAAAGCATTTGTTTGATTAATGTAAAACGAGAGCACGAAAGAGAAAAGCACAACTTACGTTTCTATGATCTGCCCTTAATTAGAAATGCAAAATTTTGTATTCTCAGAATTTTTTTTCACTAAACATTTATAAATATTTTTTACTTTTAGCAGAATATAAAACACTGAGGCACGTTTCATTCGTTTCTTAGCAAGTTTTTTCATGTCCTACTCATATAATCGTGACTAACTTCTTAAGAATTGATATGCTCCGATGTAAGAAGGGATCTATAGGGATTATTACGAATCGATTAATAATGTATCAATTCATGTTCTTCGTAGAACATGCAGAAACTTCGAAGTCAACATTTTCTTGGACCAACTTTTTTTTACCGAGCGAGGAGGGTCCTCCGTTGTATTAATGATATGAAATGCCCATCGCGGCTCATACAATTTTAATGCGTTAAATTATTCCATAGATATTCTAAGCTTAATACATAATAAATACGTCATGTCTCGAGTATGCGCAATAATCTTTATTGGTGGGGATGCAATTTTTTTTTTTGATGGAGGAAAATAGTACGTCGTCAGCCTTCGATGTATCAATTCAATATGGATAAATATTCGGGATACGGTTCGTTATTGTTAGGTTCGTTATTGTTTCTATCTTCTAGAAAAATATTTTTGCTGGATGATCTTACAAATTGAAGTTTTTGTCTGCTAAATTATTGTAAATAATTTTATAATAATGTTACTGCAAAAATCGAGTAATGATAATGTTTGTCATACGATCTTTTTAAGTCAAGAAAAAAAGTGGATTGAATTAAAATATCGAGCTATAATTCAGTGAAAAATTTAATTCTAAATATTTCACCTATTTTGTATCGTTCTCTCGTCATCATGACAGTCGAATTAACATGTATATTAGCAAGATCACACAAGAGCAATATTTTTTGATAGCTAGACTTTGAATGGGCGGTAGAGTTGAATCGATACAGCTTGGAATTTATTGGCCTTTGGCCGAAAATGAAAGAAACAACGCGAGAAAAGTTAATGGCTAACGTAAGAGTGTTTATACTGATAATCATGGTAACCTTTGTTTGCGTGATTCCTTGTATACATTCGCTGATAAGAGTTTGGGGCGACCTGATGTCGATGACAGACAATTTGCAATTCACTTTACCTTTGGTATCGATGGTAATGAAACTCATCATCATGTGGAATAAAAAAGCTGGTAAATACATCTTGCAATCTTTTTTGTAACACAAATTTGGGCGATGCAGGAAAAAAGTGTATATTTATATAAATAAATACGAAAAGTGTTCCGCAGTTTTTAAAGATTGAAATTCTCATAAGACAAACAAATTATGCGAGCTTGTCGCGAATGTTTGCGCGTACAAAAATGATTTAAAATATAATTAAACTGTTTGCTTAATGTATTTATTTTATTAAATAATTTGTATTGAGTTTCCAATAATAGGACTAATATATAGTTACTCTTTTTTAATTATTTTATAATAAATTGTTCTAATTGTTTTATAATTACTATTAATTTTATTTATTGTAAAATGCGTTGTTGCATCTTATCGACTTTTTCAGTTTTTCTATTTGTCTTTAATAATTTTTATTCATTTTTCTATTATAATTTACCTTTTAAGTTCTTGCGCCGATCTTGTGCATGATCACCGAAGACTGGCTGAAGCTAAAGTCCGATAAAGAGAGGAAGACCATGATAAGATGCGCGCGGATTCCTCGTATGATCATAATCTGCGGATTCGTCATAATGTTTGCCTCATTTATCTTGCTGTTCATTCTTCCAAGTTTCGGGATCACGATGAGGTACATTACGAACGTGACCGATCCGGGCAAACCGTTGCCTCTGCAGACATACTACTTCTATGATACGGATACAAGCCCGTACTTCGAGCTTACGTTTATCGCACAAGGTGTCACTCTCATGGTATCTGCCATGGGTTACACCGCGATCGATAGTCTCTTTGGATTGCTCATTTTTCATGTCTGTGGTCAGCTACAGAATCTTAAAGGTCGGTTGATGGACCGCCGCGAGAAGGATTCAAATTTTGTTCGTGTCCTGGCGGACGCCATAAGGGATCACGTACGCCTTATCAGGTTTTGTACACAATGTTTATTCCTGATGAACGCTCATTGTTTCGTACAATGGCGAAGATTAAAGTTATCCTGAGGAATTAATGGATCTGTGCGATATATAGTTCCGGTAAAAGGATCACACAACACTCCTCTGAGATCTGAAATCATAAAATTTTTCTTATAATTTCTTAGACATAACCGATAAGCAAATATATATATGTTTCTCTTTTTCTATAAATTTTAATGTAAATTTTGTTTAATATAGATGCATTAAAGATATCGAAAGTACGTTTACTTTGATGCTTCTTGGATTATTCCTCTATTTTGGCACATTATTTAGCCTTTATGGATTTTTACTAGTTACCGTAAGTTAATAATCAAGTTTTTTTCTTTTGCAGTTACAACAGAATATTTATTTATCAATTTGTATTTGTCCTATTTAATACTTTAATATTATTGTGTATTTAGATTGTGTTGAAACTGAGAAAAACGTGTATATCTGTGTACATATATAATACGAGAATGCTATTATTAAATTATTAACATATTTATTTATATATGACAATTAATATTCTTTGTATTTTTTAAATGCTAATTAATTATTTAGATTGTCACTGATGGTCGTCATTTATCTCTCGTAAGGCTATTGTTTCTTGTGACGGTTGTTATGAATATATTTGCGCATATGTGCTTGTATTGTGCGGTTGGAGAGTTTCTGATAGCACAAGTAAGCACATTTGTCATTTTCTTATGTTTGTATAAATAATATCTTGATACAAAAAGTTTAGTTTAATTGTTAAACAAAGAAAAATTAGAAGGTTCTCTATGAGAACGATATAATAATAGTTGCTCAGTAATAATTTATTTAAGTATATGAAATATTTTCACAATATCCAACAAAATTATATTACTGCATAGTGCGAAGGTGTCTACCAAGCTGCATGTGAATACCATTGGTACGAGTTAGAACCAAAGGAAGCCAGAAGTTTAATTTTATTAATGGCTCGCGCGAACAAGCCACTTTACGTAACAGTTGGAAAAATCTTTCCACTAACGATGAATGCTTTTTGCAGCGTAAGAGAGAGTTTAACATTCTAAACACTATTCTATATACTATTTTGTAGAAAGATCCAGCTGTGTATGATTCATGGAATAATTATCTCAATTATTTATTTCAGCTATTAAAAACATCGGGTGGTTACATATCGGTTCTGCTTGCGCGTCGTGATTGATGTGCATCATTAAATTGCATTGATAATAATAATAATAACAATATATAGGGCTGGATATTTGAAATATTTATAGTTGAAATACAACTGTATTTTGCGTGTTACAAGAGAGAAGAGAATTAGCGAGAGAAAGAAAAGAATAGTTTTCAATTTTAAATGCCAAGATATAAAATATTTTATATCTTGGCATTTAATATTTTATATTTTTTGTATTTCTTTCTTTATTTGGATTATACTTGTTAAAGTATGATTAATGAATATTTGCCCAGCTCTAACAATGTGACTATATTTAGTTACAAACGTAGTGAATACATTTCTATTACAATACTAACAATAAATTGTATACTCTTTATCTTCCCTGTCTCTTTATTTTTTTATATTTTTTTGGTCATATTTATATGTTTATTTGCACTAGAATTTAGCAGTGTGTTTCTACAAACATTTATTACCATACAAATATTAAAGCAAGATTGTAAAAAAATACTTTATTTCATATTTCACGCAATGATCATAATAAAAGAGGAAAATATCTCGGGAAAAGTTTAATCAAAGTAGACATATCTAGTGTTCTAAAAACTCATCGTTTTTATAAAATAATTTTTTGTAAAATAAGACACCTTGTATAGTATAATTCTCTTGATATCACTAACATCACACCTATTCACATATATTACATGAACAAAATATATTTTTACGACTGGTGCTTATAAATTATTTCTAACAAATGCGAAACTCTATCTACTTTATCTTTTTTTCTTATTCTATTTTTTAGTATGTGCTTATTCTATTTTTACGTGCGCTATGAAAAAAATTCATTAAAAATGTAGTTGCACGTTATTATTTTTTCCGTTGAAGTGCGCGCAATAAGGTATCAAAAAATGTGAAAAAAGACTTTTAAGGCAACTTCAACAAACTTGCGATGTACCGCGGTATATTATGTCTCGTATCTTATTAGAATAGATATTGGCATTTTTTTATGACTTATTGCCTTGATGCACATAAAAAGTTTTATTACGAAACGAATAACTATAATCAAATGGGGAAGAGGGGAAGAGAGTAGCATATTTAATATTTAATACATTCGCCGAAGGAGACAGGTTATTGCACTTGTATCGCGGGCATGCGTGGTAATCATTTTTCGCAATATAGAATAGACTAGGTTTCTCCGTGTTAGTCTTTGATATGGACATTTCCAATTATCCAGGCTATAAAGGTACTAAGTCTTCATCACACATCTTTCGCTCATTGTACAGTTCATTTTATTAAACTTATTGAATTGTATTATACTATATTAAAGTTTATTGTGCAATAGGATTAATTAATGTGTTACATTTCACGCGGTCTTCAACTTTCTATCACTTTTTATATCTTTTTACGTTTGTTTCGTGAGTGAATATTTTACATTGGGATTCTGATACATTTAGGTTTTGAAATTTGTCAATGAATATTGATTTAGTTTTCGGATCACGGAATTATAATTTGTAATTTAAATTGTAGTTTTTATTCTATTTAATTGATCAATTCTTGAATCAATTAGTATTTATGTATATAAAAATTTTACAATTTATGATCATAGAAACTCATTTTTATTTTTATAAAAGCTTCTTAATGCAAAATTTTGTCAGATTTTCTGTGGGCGACTGAATTAAATCGGTTTGGTTTGGAACTAATCGGTTTATGGCCCGAAACAGATGAAGTAGCTAAGAATAATTATTCTTCCGATCTTCGCGTGGGCATCATTTTCGTTATAATAACGTTCCTCTCTGGTATCCCTCTTGTATGTTCCCTTTTAAAAGTTCGGAATGACATGATACTCGTGATAGACAACTTGCAAATTACGTTACCTCTAGTGGTGGTGTCGTTAAAACTTGTTATCATGCGGTGGAAACGAACAGGTAAATGTCTATAATTATTTAATATAAAGTATTTAGTTTGAAATTAAATTCCCTCATAGAATTATTTTATCACTTTGCTATATTTTCAAGATCTTTTATCCATCATTAAGATGATCGCGGAAGACTGGATGGCATCAAAGCTGGATGCGGAACGAGACGTGATGATAAAACGAGCGCGAATTACTCGAATGATTGTAATTTGTGGATACATTTTAATGATACTGGCATCCACTGGAGTCATCCTTCTTCCTTGTTTTGGCTTACCATTCAGACGCTTAACGAATCTCACGGATCGGGAAAAACCATTACCGTTGCAAGCGTATTACTTTTATAACACGGATAAGAGTCCGCAATTTGAACTCACGTTAATCGTACAGGCCATGACAATCTTCCTGGCTTCTATAATCTATACGTCGGTCGATTCTTTCCTTGGACTCGCGGTTCTCCACATTTGTGGCCAGTTAGAGAACTTTAAACGTCGATTGGTTAGCTTGGTCTCATGCAAAGATTTCGATAGCGCCCTACGTAGCAATATAATCTCTCATCTACGTCTTATCAGGTTTCTACAGATTTTAATTATACCAATAAAACAATGTGAAATTTAGCAAATTGTCAAAGTTGTGTAATTATTGGATATGTATTTATACATATATAGATATTATAAACAACTTCGTATACGTCATTGTACATAACTTCGTACACTTGCAGATTTGCCAATAAGATCGAGGATACGTTTGCATTTATGTTATTGGGATTAGTATTCTATTTTGGTATTGTATTTTGTCTATATGGGTTTTTATTGCTTACCGTAAGTTTAGATGCATACTACTATATTAATATATCTTCTTCACACACATGCATTTTACGATATATAAAATTTTAACATAAATATAAATGCATAAAATCGTGCAATACACCTTGTTCGCGATTATAGTTCGTAGCCTATCAAATTTATATTAATCCGTTTTTATTAAATAGTGAGGTATATTATCCAGGTGATCACTGACGAAAAAATGAACGTTTCTTTCTCACGAATAGGCTACGTAATGGTCGGTGTCATTACTCTATTAACACATACGTTTCTCTATTGCGGTGCCGGAGAGATTATAACGGAACAAGTAAGTAATATATTAATTTTTGTTATAGATTTGTTAGGAAACTATTGCAAGAATCATTATTAAATATTCGTGTATGTGCAATTTGTATCTCACAAGGACGTTTATTAAATCCGAATTTAATTAATTTTTTATCTTTTTATAATTCACTGCCTTTTCTTTAAAAAAAAATTTAATATTAACTAATATTTATGAAAACGATCTAAGCTAAGATAGCTAAGATAAAGACGCATGTGTTATCATGTATGTGTATGTTGACAAGTGCGATGCAATATATCGTGCTATGTACAATCTCCATTGGTACAAATTGGAGTCGAGGCAAGCAAGAAATCTTATTTTATTAATGATACGAGCCGGTGAACCCTTTCGCATCACTGCAGGAAAAGTAATTCCACTAACAATGACTACCTTTTGCAGCGTAAGATTATATCATTTATCTATAATTGAAACATGTTTTGCATATTCAACTAAATTTTAATTATAGCACATCTAAGTAAAATAATTTGGTTATTTTTTCAGCTATTAAAAACATCGGCTGGATATATATCGTTTTTGTTAGCAAAGCAGGATTAAAAATGAAGATTATTAATATATCACTTATCTAATAAAGTAAAGAGAAGAGATTGAATGTAAATGTTTCCAATTAAGTAATGAATAGAAATTGACAATTATAGTTGTTATAATGAAAGTAAGATAATTAAATGATTTGTTTGTTAACTATATTGTATCGTAAATTTTTAAATATTTAATATTTTAAAATATATATATAAAATTAGTTTTTTTCAAATTTAACTTTTCATTATTTTGCATAAATGCATATTAATTGGAAAAGAGAGAATAAAAACAACGAGAAGATCGTATTTTATCTATTACGCTTATAACGTTAATTATTAAATTAGAATAAATAACAAATTATACTTTTCTATTAAAAATAACTATAAAATTTATATTGCACTTTACACAATTATGATGTACAATATTCGTCCCGTATGCTATGCCGATCACACTTACTTTGTAGTGAACATTTGAAATATTCGCGAATACGTAACTTATAAAACACCTTTCTTCGGATATTATTTTTTGTTGTGCACAGTTTTTTATGTTTCCATGTGCGTTTTCCCGGGGTTTTCCATGGAGAAGAAATTCTCGTTATAAAATAAAGTGACAATTGTGAGGCATTATAAAGTTTAAAAGAAACTTGTGCAACAAGTTCAACGAATTTGCTATGCATCGTGACAGAGCACATGACTTTTTTATAATTATAGATATTGATGCTTGTTACGAATTATTCTCATGGTAAAAATTTTTTTTACAAAACATCAAACTGGCATTATTAACTGGCGATAGCATTCGTAATATTTAATGTACTCTTCAACGAAGTAAACCGGGTTGTATTCGAGCATGCGTATAGATCATCTGTCTAATAGATTAGTGAGAAGTGTGCTTTTTCATATTATTTCTTGACATGGTCGCTAAACGTTCAAATTATAAAGGTACCGAATATTGGTGATATATATCGATATATTGTGTTTTGTGAAACATTAATAAAATAAAATAAAATAATATAGTTATATTATATTTAAAAAAATATTGTGTGATATATAAAGATTGCACGTATACATTTTAATTGATCTTTAATTTTCTGCTGTCTCTCCGTTTGTTTATGCCACAAAGTTTTATTCTTATACTCTGATTTTAAATATATATTCAAATTTTAAAATTGTCACTTATTAATATAACATAAAAATTATATAATTAGAAAAGTTTTATTTGTTTTCAAATTACTAAGTATATAAAATTATTGATTATATTAGAACAAAGTTATGAATTTACGAATTTTTAATCGTTCAAACTTTAATATTTTGTGTGTATATATGATTGTGTTAAATATTTAATTTGTTTTAATATTTAAATTTTACTAGATTTTATGTGGGCTATTGAACTATGCCGATTTGGTTTAAAGGTGACCGGCTTGTGGCCTGAAAATCACAAAACAAATAAGAATAATTTTATTTCTAATATTCATGCAACTATCGTTTTTATTATGATCACTTTTGTATCTGTTATTCCTCTTATATGTTCACTCGTACGAATTTGGGGCAATATGATACTTATGATAGACAATCTTCAAGTAACTATAACATTAACAGCAATATGGGCGAAATTTGTCATCATGCGGTGGAAACGGTCAGGTATATCTAAAATCACTCAGAAAGTGAAAAAATTAAAGAATGTTTTCAATATTCTATGGCAAGATTTACGTATAAAGAGGACTGTTAATGATTTTGTCGTAGTAAATTAATAGTTAATTAATTAGATGTAAACAATATAATATATTTTTATACAAGATCAATATGATTTTATTCTATTTTTAAGCTATCTCAAGCATTGTGAACATGATTGCAGAAGATTGGATGTATTTAAAGATAAATGCAGAGAGAAATGTAATGATAAGACAAGCGCAAATTGCTCGATTCGTTATAATCTCTGGATATTTTATGGTGATATTCGGGTTTAGTGTGGTTATTATTTTACCATCATTTGGCGTGCACTACAGACTCTTAACAAATCTCACGGCCGGTGTCAGAGCATTACCAATGCAAGGATATTATTTTTACGATACAGATAAAAGTCCGCAGTTTGAATTTACGCTTGCTGCTCAAGCCATAACGACATTTCTGGCTTGCGTAACTTACACATCGGTCGATGCTTTTCTTGCGCTAATAATCTTTCACATATGCGGTCAATTGGAAAACTTCAGATATCAATTACTCAATCTAGCCTCGAGCGATAATTTCGCCAATGCTCTACGTTATAATGTCGAGACTCATCTACGATTGATAAGGTTTCTGCGAGCTTTACTGTCACAATACAGCAATGTTGTAAAGTGAAATACAGTAAAATGTTTAAATAATTTATTCTTATATAATAATTTGTTTAATCTGTAAATATTAAGTTATTCTTTCACAATGTGTGTGTTTCATAATATATGCATTAAAGGCTAATACATGCCTTTCATACATATGTGAACATAGAAATTTCCATAAAGCACATTTTCTTATTAGATATTGTCTCAAATTTTTTTACTAGCAAATAAGAATGTCTAAGTCGTTTTGATGTTACTTATACATATATTTTTTTAGTCTTATTATGGCATTATTTTAAACGTTTTTATATTTACAGATTTGCCGATAACATCGAAAATGTGTACGCTGTACTGATGTTGACATTATTATTCTATTTTAGTTCTGTATTTTGTCTTTATAGTTATCCATTAGTTACCGTAAGTATTGGTAGGACCTCATGCAAAATACGTATATATACCTTACGGTTTTTTATCCTTCTAATATAATATAAAATTGTGTGAGATATTAAATCAGTGAAATCTTACACACACACACACAAAATATTTCATATAAATATATATTATATGCACAGGTTACCAGCGACGAAACAAATAACAAATCTTTTTCACGGATAGGCTTTTCAATAATTGGTGTCATTATGTTATTAGCGCATACATTTTTTTATTGTGGTGGCGGGCAACTTATGGCGAAAGAAGTATGTTTTTGTTGCATATTTATACACAAAAATAAATATCCTGTCTTTGATAGAGATTATGAAGCAAATCTGAATTAATTTAATTTATAATTATAATAACAGCTAATGCTAAAATAGTACAGATATTCATTATATGTACATGTATTAAGTGCGAAGCAGTATATCGTGCTTTGTGCGATCTCGAGTGGTATAAATGGGAACCGAGAGAATCGAGAGCTCTTATTTTATTAATGATACGAGCCAGCGAACCTTTTCGCCTCACTGCGGGAAAGATATTTCCTCTTTCAATGGTCACATTTTGCAGCGTAAGATTATTAACAATTTTTCTAATTTGACAAATATCTTTTGAATACAATTTTCTGTATAAATTATTATTAATTGTGTATGAGTAATCTAGAAAATAATAAAATAATATATTTTTAACACAAAATTTTTCCTTTTTACTTTTACTTACATTTCTCTTTGTTGATATCTTTAAATAAAGAGATATTACTTTTTATAGGTATTAAAAACATCAGCTGGCTATATATCATTTTTATTAGCAAAGCGTAATTAAAACATAAATATAGTGTAATTTTGCGTATTTATTCAAATGAAAGAAGAAAATATGATAATTTGTCAATTAGATAATAATAGACACCGATAATAGAAACAAATAATTTTGATTAGTTACAAAAATAAATTATATATTAAAACTGCGTAATGTGAAAATAATATTATTGTAAAAGTAATGTTTGATGCTTATACATATCACAGCTAAATCTTAATTTGTAAAATTTCTATTTATCATTTTGTAGAAGTGGATAAAACTAGTAATTGCTTTGTGTATATTAAAGTTATTATGTAGAAATGTGTGATTATATGAATTATGTTTTATGATATAATATTGCAATACGTGCACCCACAGATGCACAAACACACATTCAAAATAGAGAAATTTCAAAAAAATTTATATATACAATAGTTAAATAATTATAGTTGATTAATTAAATCATTGTTTACATATATTTTGCAGAAAAATAATTGTAATATATATGTAATTACATTATGTATCACTTGGTGAATTATTACTTACATTTATCACTTGTGTCATAAAATATCTCTTTATAACTGATATTTGTGATATTCGTAAAATTTTATGTGATACATTTTCTACATTTTGTACCTTTCTACTGACATGAAACTTTTTTAGACTAAAGTTTTTTTATCTCCATTATTGTCTGTAAGAGTGCATTAAATATGCAAACACGCACCATTATTTTTCACGATGAAATAAAGTCAGCTGTTGAAAAACATCATAAAGCATGAAAAAAATTTAATGATAAGTTCGTGAAACTTACGATGTACTGCAACTTGATGTATTTTCCCTCTTGTTAGACACTTTTTACGACTTGTCCTTGTGGTAAAATTTTTTTTACAAAACGAAGAACTGTTATCAACTAGGGATAGTATGAGTAATATTTAATGTGCTTTTTAATGAAGCAAACCGAGTTGTTGCATTCGCACTGCGAGCATGCGTATAGATCATCCGTCTAATAGATTAGTGGGAAATGTGCTCTTCACATTATTTCTCGACATGGCTTCTAAACGTTCAAGTTATAAAGGTATCGAATGTTTGTGATATAGTGACATGTTCTATATATTGTGTAATTTTTTAGACACTTTAAATTATGAATTTAAACAAATAGTAGTATATAATATAATAAGTTTGCACATATGTGTTTGAGTTAATCTCTAATTTTTTGCTTTATCCTTATCTTTATTAATTAATAATAAAACTTTACTGTTATACTATGACTTGAGATATCAAATTTTCAAATTGTTTTTATTTACTTATTTTATAAAATTATAAATTGTTAGAACAAAGTTATAAACTTGTAGATATTTCATGATTCCAATATTCAAATTTTTTATTGTACTCAAAATATTTAATATCAATATCTAATTTTTTATATTAAAATTTTTTAGATTTTGAGTGGGCTATTAAACTAAACCGGTGTAGTTTCAAAATAATCGGTTTATGGCCAGAAAATCATGAAGTAATAAATACGAATAACTTTGTTTCCAATATTCAGGCGAGCTTTATTTTTATTATGGTTACTTTGGTACTTGTTATACCTTTTACATGGTCTCTTGTACGAGTTTGGAGTGATATGATACTTATGATAGAGAATCTGCAACTGACATTACCGTTAATATTTTCATGTCTGAAGCTTCTCATTATGCGATGGAAACGATCAGGTATGTTTAAAATTATTTTAAAAAATCAAAGAATAAAGAGACTTTTTTTTAATTCCTGAATTTATTGAAAATGTTTACTTTACAACATTCTCTTATGTCGCACGTTTATACTTTAAGAATTTTTTTAGTGCATTAAGATTTTTCGGTATTTGTTTTACGATATCTGATTGTTCTCTTTCATCATATCGTATATTCTGATCTGATGATATTTCACAGACATCGCAGATCGGAAATTACCTTCGCGTTATTTTCACAATGTACAGTGTACTGTTAATGCTTTTGTCGTAGTAAATTAATAGCTAATTATTTATAAAGATCTTAATATTGTCACACAAGAAATATCTGATATTATTACTTTTTTATTTACTTTTAAGCTATCTTACTCATCGTGAACATGATGGCCGAAGATTGGATGCATTTAAGTACAGAGGCAGAAAGATATGTAATGATAAAACAAGTGCAATTTGCGCGATTTTTTACAATTTATTCATATTGTATTGCGGCATTGGGAGTCACCACAGTTACTGTTTTACCATCATTTGGATTACATTTCAGAGTTATAACAAATCTCACGGACAGAGACAGAGTATTACCAATGCAAGCCTATTATTTTTATGACACAGATAAAAGTCCGCAGTTTGAGCTTACACTTGCCGCTCAATTTATATCGATGTTTTTCATTTTGATAATTTACATGTCGGTGGATGCTTTCTTTATGCTCACGATTTTTCATATTTGCAGCCAGTTAAAAAATTTCAGATATCGATTACTTAATCTGGTTTTATACAACGATTTTAACAATGGCATACGTTATATCGTAGAAACTCATCTACGACTTATAAGGTTTTTATGATTTTCGCTATTACGATACAATGACATTTCAAAGTGAGATGCAGCAATACCTTTGAAAAATTTATTCTTACAAGATAACTTGTTTAATCCGTAAATATTAAGTCATTCTGTCATAGTTTTGTAATATATGCATTAGTGTCCGATGTTTTTCTGACGCATGTAGTATATATACAGGATGTCCTGCACAAAATGAATCACCTCTCGTGTACAGGTAGAGCGGGTTAATCTGAGTAGAAAAGTCTTCTACCGTTTTGCGATTTTTGCAATAATTAATGAGAAATCAACAGTTATGGAGTAAGAGGATCAAAGGCCGCAGCAGAATCTTGATTGCCAAACAAAAAAAATTTTTTTTATTCTTTAATCAGGAATGAATTTAAACGTTTCGATCGGCATTTCCGATCATCTTCAGTATAAATCTAATTCCGCGTGCTGGGATTCATTGGTGAGACATGAATTATCATTAGTACAAATTGGTCAACGGTAACATTATGAGGCTGTGCAAAGAACTGCTATGTGAGAAATCAAAGTACCGGTCATCTCAAATTCGAAAAGGAAACTGCCACAGTCTCCTTTTCGAATGCACATTGACAGTCTCCTTTTCGAGTTTGAGATGACCGGTACTTTGATTTCTCACATAGCAGTTCTTTGCCTCATAATGTTACCGTTGACCAATTTGTACTAATAATAATTCATGTCTCACCAATGAATCCCAACACGCGGAATTAGATTTATACTGAAGATGATCGGAAATGGCGATCGAAATGTTTAATTTCATTCCTGATTAAAGAAAGGAAAAAAAATTTTTTTGTTTCGCAATCAAGATCCTGCTGCGGCCTTTGATCCTCTTACTCCATAACTGTTAATTTTACGCTGGGCCTAAATTGATTCTATTAATTGTTTAATGAGAAATTAATTAAAGAAGATCGGCCAATTTGCGCGAGTCTATGCACGCGGCGAGACGAGACAGCCCACTGTTACGTGGTCGTTAGGACGCAAGGATTTAGCAATTTTTGTCAAAATCTTAGGGACACCTTGTACATACTATATATAAATTTTTATAAAACACATTTTTGTAAAAATATATCTCAGCTTTTAATAAAAAGCTTTTTAGTAAAAACGTCGAAATTCTTTTGGAAATTATGTCATGAAAATGTTTGAAATTATTTTACTCTTATGCCCTAACTACACCAAAGGATGATCCTGCTTGTGGCTCATCCGAGCGAGTAATGTAGACGCATTGAAAGTGACACTGAAGGCGAAAGTGATCGGATGAGCCACAAGCAGGATCATCCTTCGGTGTAGATAGGGCATTACATTTTGTGGATCCTAACGTGACATTTTTTAAATGCTTTTATATTTATAGATTTGCCGATAACATAGAAAATATATTTTCTTTATCGACACTGGGAGTATTATTGTATTTTGGTGTTGTATTTTGTATTTATGGTTTTTTATTTATTACTGTAAGTATTAGAGAGAGTAGGAAAACTACGAGAAAAATGTATATATATTTTGCACTTATTTGCTTTTGTAACGTACAAATGTTTGAGATATTTGATCAATAATTATAACATGAAGAATACTTAATATTATAATGTTATATATGTAATTCATATGTTTATGCGCGCGCGCGTGTGTGTACACATGCATACATATTTTGTTTTTTATTACATTAACAAGGTATATTTTATATTTACAGATAATAATCAGCAATGAAACAAGTTATATTTCTTTTTCGCGGATATGTGCTGCGATATGTGGCACTGTTTCTTCATTAGTGATCCTGTTATTTTACTGCATTGGCGGAGAACTTGTGGCAAAAGAAGTACGTTTTTTTACATTTTTATACACGTAAATGTATCTTCAACAGAAATTAAAAATAAAATTTTAGTTAAATTAATTTACGTTTTTGATAACGACTAATATAAAAATAATGCGGATATTTATTATATATGTCAAGTGTGAAGCAGTATATCGTGCTTTGTGCGATCTCGAATGGTACATATTGGAGCCGACGGAATCGAGAGCTCTAATTTTAATAATGATACGAACCAGCAAATCTTTTTGCATCACCGCGGGAAAAATATTTCCACTTTCAATGGCCACATTTTGTAGCGTAAGATTATTAACAATCCCTCTAATTTGACAAATATTTTTTTATATACTGTATAGAATATTTTACATAAATTATTAATAATTGTGTATAAATAAAATATATAGAAAATAATGGAATAATATTTTTTTAATAGTAAAATTTTTTTCTTTTTTTTTTATTTATATTTCTGTTTCCTGAAATACTTAAACGAAAAAACATTATTTTATAGGTATTCAAGACATCTGTTGGCTACATATCATTTTTATTGGCAAAGCGTAATTAAAGCAAACTATTACACTCTTATTCAAAAGAAAAAAGAGACTGTGATTATAATTTACTGATTATGTAATTATATATAATAAATTATGTAATTATAAATAATAAAAACAAAGATTTGTGTCGGTTAGCACAGAAATATACTTGTGATTTAATGAAAAATAATACTGTGAATGTAATGTTTTATGCTTTGTGTAGAAGTTGTATCTGAATTTATAGTACTTTTTTATCAATTTGTGTAAGTAGATTAAATTGGTAATTGCTTTGAGTATATTAATGTTATTATGTAGAAACGTATGATTATATTAATTATGTTTTATGATATAGTTTAATATAATTAAATGACAGTTCTCATATACTTTACATAAAAATAATTATAAGTTTTAAGTATGTTTTATATCATTTGGTAAGATATTACATTTACCTTGTGTCGTAAAATATCGCTTACCAACTGACTTGTAGTTTTCGTATAATTTCATACGATGTATTATTCCTTTTTGTTGTTTTTTTCTTGGACTAAAGTTTCTTTTATAACAGTTTAATAATTATTATTTTCAAACAAAACTTACGTATACTTTATTAGCAAAAAATGATTGCAATATTGTATTACTGTGAAATAAATGACTTATATTAACAAAAATTGTATTAAAAATTATTTCATAAGATAGCGCTACATTGATGTACGCATATAATCATATAATATTTTTTGCAGTAGCTATTCGCAATATTCCTATAATGTTCTATGATATACAGGGTGTCCTAAACCTACCGTAACACTTGTTAATAGCAGATTTCTGAGGTCATTTGGAGATGAAAATCTTAATGCCAAAATGTCGAGGTTGCTATAGTTTTTGAACAGGAAAAATTTAAAGTTCACCAATCAACTTGTCAAAATTTCGCGCTCTCTGGGACATCGCATCTCGAAAGGACTCACAACACTTTACTCAGCTCATTTTATTCACTTTATTTCTTTGTATACTGTTCGCAAGACTGACAAATTTAATAACGATAATAATTTCTATTGTCGTATTGAAACGCAATGCGCGTCAAACAGTCAAAGCATTCGTGTGAAGCGTGCCATTAAGTGACATTTCTTATGTGATGAGAGAAAATCAATACAATCGGTACGAAGTGTGATATCCGTAAAGTATTGCGCATGTGCCCTTTTGAGATGCAATGTTTCTGAGCGTGCGAAATTTTGACAAGCTAATTGGTGAACTTTAAATTTTTCCTGTTTAAAAACTATAGCAGCCTTGACATTTTGGCCTATATGATTTTCGTCTACAAATGATCTCAAGAATCTGCCAATAACGAGTGTTATGGTTGGTCTGAGACACTCTGTATATTCTCTCTTTTCCATTATATCGTACTTTTTTTCACTAGAAATTTTTTTATCTCCATAGTTCTCTACAAGAGTAGGTATATTAAAAATGCAAATGCACACCGATATTTCTCATGACAAAATACGAAAGCTGCTGTCGTGAACCACAATAAGTCATGAAAAAACTTGAATAACAAGTTCGTGAAACTTGCGATGTACTGCAACCTGATGTATTTTCCCTTTTGTTAGACATGGTACTTTTTACGACTTATTCTTGTGTAAAATTTTTTTTACAAAACGAAGAACTGTTATCAACTAGGAATAGCTTGATTAATATTTAATGTGCTTTTTAATGAAGCAAACCGAGTTGTTGCATTCGCACTGCGAGCATGCGTATAGACCATCTGTTTAAAAGATTAGTGAGAAGTGTGCTTCTTCACATTATTTCTCGTCATGGCTTCTAAACGTTCAAATTATAAAGGTATCGAATGTTTGTGATATAGTTCTATATATTGTAAAACTTTTTTAGACATTTTAAATTATGAATCCATACAAAAAATATTATATAATATAATAAGTTTACAAATATTTGTTTGAATTAATCTCTAATTTTTAGCTATATCTTTATCTTTATTAAGGAATAATAAAATTTTACTGTTATACTATGACTTCAGATATCAAATTTTCAAATTTTTAAGTTTTTAAATTTTTTAATTGAGTTGTAAATTGAGTTGTTAGTTGATATAACATCAAGATTACCACAAAAAATTTTAATTTTTTTTATTTACTTATTCTATAATATTATAAATTGTTAGAACAAAGTCATAAACTTGTAGATATTTCGTCATTCCAATATTCAAATTTTTTATGTACTTAAAATATTTAATATCAATATCTAATTTTTTTATATTAAAATTTTTTAGATTTTGTGTGGGCTATTAAACTAAGCCGGTATGGTTTCAAGCTATTCGGTTTATGGCCAGAAAATCATAAAATAACAAATAAGAATATGTTTGTTTCCAATATTCAGGCGAGCTTCATTTTTATTATGATTATTTTGGTACTTATTGTACCTTTTATATGGTCCCTCGTACGAGTTTGGAGTGATATGATACTTATGATAGAAAATCTGCAAATAACATTACCGATAATAATATCATGCCTGAAAATTGTCATTATGCGATGGAAACGATCAGGTATATCTAAAATTATTTAAAAAGATCAAAGATTCAAAAGACTTTTAATTCTTAAATTTATTGAAAATGTTTACTTTACTACATTCACTTATGTTGCACGTTTATATTTTAAGAATTTTTTAGTGCATTCGGATTTTTCGTTGATTTGTTTTACGATATTGGATTGTTCTCTTTAATCAGATCGTATATTCTGATCTGATGATATTTTACAGACATCGGAGATCGGAAATTACCTTCGCGTTATTTTCACAATGTACAGTGTACTGTTAATGCTTTTGTCGTAGTAAATTAATAGCTAATTATTTATAAAGATCTCAATATTGTCACACAAGAAATATCTGATATTATTACTTTTTTATTTACTTTTAAGCTATCTTACTCATCGTGAACATGATGGCCGAAGATTGGATGCATTTAAGTACAGAGGCAGAAAGATATGTAATGATAAAACAAATGCAGATTGCGCGATTATTTACAATTTTTTCATATTGTATTGGGGCATTCGGAGTCACCACAGTTACTGTTTTACCATCATTTGGGTTACATTTCAGAGTTATAACAAATCTCACGGACAGAGACAGAGTATTACCAATGCAAGCCTATTATTTTTATGACACAGATAAAAGTCCGCAGTTTGAGCTTACACTTGCCACTCAAATTATATCGATGTTTTTCACTTTAATAATTTACATGTCGGTGGATGCTTTCTTTATGCTCACGATCTTTCATATTTGCAGCCAGTTAAAAAATTTCAGATATCGATTACTTAATCTGGTTGTATACAACGATTTCAACAATGCCTTGCGTTATATCGTAGAAACTCATCTACGACTTATAAGGTTTTTATGATTTTTGATATTACGATACAATGACATTTCAAATTGAGATGCAGCAATACCTTTGAAAAATTTATTTCTACAAGATATATTGTTTAATCCGTAAATATTAAGTCATTCTGTCACAGTTTTGTAATATATGCATTAGTGTCCGATGCTTTTCTGACGTATATAGTATGTATGTATACAGGGTGTCCCGCACATGGTGAATCACATTTCGTATTCAGGTAGAGCGGGTTAAACCGAGTAGAAAAATCCTCTACCGTTTTTCGATTTTTGCTATAATTAATGAGAAATTAATTAAAGAATATCGGCCAATTTGCGCAATCTATGCGCGCGGTGAGAAGAGATTGCCTATATTTATTTAGGAGACATTAAAGAGACTGCTCACTGTTACGTGGTCGTTAGGACGCAAGGATCTAGCGATTTTTGTCAAAATCTTAGGGACATCTTGTATATATTATATATAAATTTTCGTAAAACACAATTTTATAAAACATTATCTCTAGTTTTTAATAAAAGTTTTTTAGTAAAAACGTTAGAAATTATTTTGAAAATTATGTCATGGAAATGTTTGAAATTATTTTACTCTTACATTTTGTGGATCTTAACGTGACATTTTTTAAACGCTTTTATATTTATAGATTTGCCGATAACATAGAAGATATATTTTCTTTATCGACACTGGCAATATTATTGTATTTTGGTGTTGTATTTTGTATTTATGGTTTTTTATTTGTTACTGTAAGTATTGGTGGGAAAACCACGAGAAAAATGTATATATATTTTGCACTTATGTGCTTTTGTAACGTACAATTGTTTGAGATATTTGATCAATAATTATAACATGAAGAATACTTAATATTATAATGTTATATATATAATTCATATGTTTATGCGCGCGAGCGTGTGTGTGTACACATGCACATATATATTTTGTTTTCTATTACATTAACAAGGTACCATATTTTATATTCGCAGATAATAAGCAGCAATGAAACAAGTTATATTTCTTTTTCGCGGATATGTGCTGTAATATCTGGCAGTATTTCTTTTTTAGTGTTTCTGTTATTTTTTTGCATTGGCGGAGAGCTTGTGGCAAACGAAGTACGTTTTTTTACATTTTTATACACGTAAATGTATCTTCAACAGAAATTAGAAATAAAATTTTAGTTAAATTAATTTACGATTTTGATGACGACTAATATAAAAATAATGCGAATATTTATTATATATGTTAAGTGCGAAGCAGTATATCGTGCTTTGTGCGATCTCGAATGGTACATATTGAAGCCGACGGAATCGAAAGCTCTAATTTTAATAACGATGCGAGCCAGCAAATCTTTTAGCATCACCGCGGGAAAAAGATTTCCACTTTCAATGGCCACATTTTGTAACGTAATATTATTAACAATCCTTTTAATTTGACAAATATTTTTTGTATGAAATATTTTACATAAATTATTAATAATTGTGTATAAATAAGGTATATAGGAAATAATAGAATAATATCTTTTTAATAGTAAATTTTTTTTTTCTTTTATTTATATTTTTGTTTCCTGTTAAGTAACGATAATTTAAACGAAAAAACATTATTTTGTAGGTGTTAAAGACATCTGTTGGCTACATATCATTTTTATTGGCAAAGCGTAGT